AAACCGAATTCCATCCTGATATCTTCCGGAAAGGTTCGTTCGTTTTGATCAGATTATCCAGCTTTCACCAATCTCGTATACATCTTCACGTCGTCCATTTAGGGCAGGTTCGATAAATATACCGCTGTCTTTCAACTTATATCTTTTCCTGGTGTTATTCAGCAAGTCACTGAGTGGATTCAATGCCAGACAGAATAGAAGCGGCGAGGTTGAATATCACTGGAAGATTTCTCGCTTTATCTTTACCGATCCCAAGGAGACTTTGTTACATAGCAGTATCGTTCACCACTGTTTTTTCGCTGATTCGAAGAATTTCATTTGGCCGTTGTTGAAGTTGCAAATTTTCAGATTTTTCAGGATCTGGCTATGTAGTATTATATCAAATGCCTTCCTAAAGTCAATCAAAGACATAGCAAGGTTGGTTATTGTCATTTTGCAATCCTGATTTAGCTCTGATCCATCGGTAGTTTCGCTTGATTTCGTCCGCAACCCTTTTTGTTAAGGAAATGTGATGTTGCTCGCCTCAAAATGCTCGTAAACTGCACTTGCTAATAAAGAAGTCAGGAGTTTACAGAACGCTGGAATGTACGCGATCGGCCTCTAGTTGGTCATATCTCGCTAACACCTGTTCTAGTCCTTCAAGACCAAGTGTGTTATTCCTTACGTTAACCAAGAAGTTGGTGCTTATTAAAACAATCTCTGCAAGAATGCTGCTATATTCGTGAGTACAAAGATCAACCGTTTAAGGCAGAACGCCCACGCCTAATCCGGGCCTGGTGCAGTTCAGTTTTTTATCTTTCTGAGCGTCTTGCGCGCATGCGTTGTGGTGATTGTTAGGAGATCTCATCTGCACTCTTTTGGATTTGCTTTACCCATTTAAATTCTTTGTTGCTGACTTTGCCATTGTCCCATATTTTTCTCGAGAACGGAAGCCGGAAGCGATTCTGCTGCGTTAGGACAAGCGGTTTTCGCCTTATCTGCAGGTTTGCTCTTTGCCTCCAGTATTCTGTTGAAAGCCT